CCGTGAAACATCTGATGCTTGCTCTTGAATATTGTCATTGCGAGAATGCTTGAATTAGCCTGAGTGTTGCTTCTCGGGCTGAAAATATCTTGCAAAATAAAATCGACTGTTCGATCGTTGGGCAAGATAAATGCCAGAGCTCCCGATGCTCGCTATTCAGTCCTTTGCGCTAAAAAGTGCCCTGAGCCACAGGAAAACCTTGATCCCCTGCCTCAAGAACAAATGCTATGATATGCAAAAATGAAATGAAAAATAAACCAAGTGCGAGAAAGTTGGGAAAATTTTGGGGTACAACGCCGTCTATTACACATTTAAATTGTCATCCACATTGTTACAACATTGCGTATGACATCTTGTCATCTGAAGAACAATATTTCAATTGGCATCAGAGTAGGCACTATGATCTGTTTGGGTGTGTTCTAGAGTTCTTATTCTGTTCAGGATGGAGAATACCAACGAAGGAGGATCAATTAACCAACCAATGATTCTTGATGGTACTAAGAAGCCTCCAAAGTTTGTAGTTGAAAACTATTATGAAGATTGCGAAGATAAAGTATAATATGATACTGAGGAAAATATCATGCATTCTAAGATTTTGAGAAAGATCATCAGAAGACTTAATATGATATATGGGAGTAATGTCACTACCAAGGTCAAAGACAATAAACAATAAAATTTTCAGAGTTGAGTTTATTTCTGCTTGAGCAAGGTCAACTTAAATTCTTGATAGTGGAGTGGATTACTTCACAAAGTGGATAAAGGTTGAAGCCATTACCAAAATAGCAGCAAAAAGAGTTTGTTGTTTCTACTGAAATAAAATTATGTGTTGGTTTGGGATTCTTGGAGAAATTTTGTTCAACAATAAAACCCCGATCCCTAACGCTATGGTTATAAATTTTTGTCGAGATCTAGGAGTAAAAACAAAGTTCATATCTGTAGTTTACCATTAGGTCAATAGGCAAGCTAAATCGGTGAACAAGGTAATTTTGAAGGGACTCAAGAAAAAGCATGATAATGCCAAAGGCTTATGGACATAACTTTTCTATGAGACATTGTAGTCATACCACAACACCCCATACTCCACCACAAAGTAAACTCCATTTACCAAAGTATATGGAGTGGATGACATGCTACCTATGAAGATTGACACACCCTCGTGGCGATAATCCCAATTTTATCAAGAAGAAAACATGGCCCGATTGAAAGGTGTGGCAGACCTGATCAATGACTTGAGAGAATTCATCCATGTCTGAGAATTCTCCGCCAAGCATAGAGCTCCCAGAAGATATAACTCCAAAGTTAAGTTGAGAAAGATGCAATATGGAGACATGGTCTTAAAGAAAATGGTTATACCCACACAACAGGAAAAACTATAACCTAACTAGGAGAGCCCATATCACATAATCTAGAATCTCCACCATAGGGCGTATAAGTTGCAGGAACTAGAAGGAAAAAGCTTGCCCAAAACCTGGAATGCTCTCCATCTTAAGTATTATTACAGATAGGATGTTGTAAATTCATGAGACAGAATCATTTATTTATGAATAATTTCCTGTTTATTTATGACTAATAAGTATAGTTTTCAATATTTTGTATGTTGGACTTCATGGTGAAGATCATTGCCTCCCCTTGAGATAATTTTTTTTTATCTTGGACTTCATGGCAAATATCTTTGTTGCCCCTTTAGGAAATATTTTTTATGCTAGACTTTATGACGAAGATCATTTCTTCTCTTTGAGGAAAACGTTTTTATGATGGACTTCATGGAAAAGATCTGTGAGAACCCTCGAGGCAATATCTTTTAGGCGGGACTAGCAAAGATCCTTTATGTCCCTTTAGGCAATATTTTTATGCTGGAATTCATGGAGAAGATCCTTGCCACCCCTTGAGGTAATACATTTTGTGCTGGACATGATGGAAAAGATCCTTGCCACCCCTTAAGGTATTATTTTTTAATGCTGGAATTCTTGGTGAAGATCTTTGCTGCCTTTGGAGGCCATTTTTTTTATGTTGGACTTCATGGCGAAGACCCTTGCTGCCTCTTGAGGAAATATTTCTTATGTTGGACTTCATGGTGAAGATATTGTCCACCCCTCATGGCAATACGAAAGAACTACCCAACGCCTTATATAAGGGACTTATAGTCTCATCAGTGAGCTATATATATTTTCGTGAGGGACTTAGGTTTCCCAGTTTATTAAATTATTTCTTGAGGGATTTAGAGCTTCTTCGGGCGGGATCAAACATAGAAATATCGCCCAAGAGGCGCAACTGAAGTCTAGTCTAAGAGAGTTAGTCACAAATCTTTTTTGAGGGTTTAGCAGAAGTCCTTCAAGAAAGGTCCAATGCCTCGCATAAGAGACTTATAGTCTCATTAGCCAATCTACATATAGTTTCTCTTAATGGAATTAGTTTTCCCATGTTATTTAAACTTTGGTCTGAGGGACCTACAATTTTCTCGGGAAAGATCAAACATAGAAATATCGACCAAGAGGCGCGATCGAAGTATAGCCTAAAAGACTTCGTCACAAGTCTTATTTGAGGGATTAATAGATGTCCCACCCGAAGGGTCTAATGTCTCGCCTGAGGGACTTATAGTATTATCACTTAGGCTACATATAACTTCACCTGATGGACCTAGATTTCCCAAACTAGTTAAACTCTCGCCTGAAGGACTTAGAGTTTCCTCATGCGGGATCGAACATAGAAATCTCGTCTAAGAGGCACATTCATAGTCTTTCCCAAGATACTCATTCACACGTATTGATAGAATTCCCTCCCGAAGGGTACAACGTCTCGCGTAAGAGACTTATGGTCTCATCAGCTAGGCTATATGTAATCTCGCATGAGGGACTTAGATTTTCCAAGCCATTTAAACTCTCCAGTTTAGGGATTTAGAATTTCCTCGGAAAAATCCAATAAGCTTGGCATGTCACACATATCATCAAGTAACTTAGGTCATCGGGATACTATCTCGTACCACGGTCTAAAAACGTTATGTCCTCTATCAAGAATCTCGTGCATGGGAGACTATTTAGTGTTATATTTATAAAAGACCTAGTCTGGGCAACGACCATATGCCGCCCTTAGGAAAGGAAACAACCATGTATCTCCCATAGGGAGATATTGCCTCACCATAATGCTTTCCTTTCGCCCAGTTATGTGAAACGTGGGATAAGACATTTCCTGGACAAAGAGAAACTAGGGCCAGTATTTTACCCACAATCCCCTTGGAAATAGGGGTTCTCTAGGCCTCGGTTGGCTTAGTGGGAAGCAAAATTTCTCAAGGAAACCCTAGGTCTAAAGCCTTTATAGATATCTCTCCCCTAACATGAGAAATGTCGGATCTTAATTCATATGCTTATACCTAAGCACCAAGCATATACACAGTGTGTCTCACCTCATGTGAGCATGTGCTTTAAACACCATAAACACCATCATATAATGCTTCTCACCGCCGTGTATAAGCCCTAACCACCACAAATTATTATAAACCAATTAAGGCCTCTGAATGTCACTGCTTTTGCACGGATAACATGCACACTTGTATGTTTTAACCAATACAAAACTCATTCAAACAAATCCTAAATAAAAAAATCAATTGGAGCATTAATTGATGTAAAAAAAAGGTGATGATATGAGGTGACATGGCATAATTTGTATAGCAATAAAACCTGGATAAAATATTAATTAGAGTTGTTAGCCAGTCATTCTATCCTTTTTCTTTGCCAGGTAGAAAAGAAATATAAAAAAAAAAAAGTTAAGATTTATGACATGTTTGATTTTGTTTTTAAAAACTGTTTTTTTAGTTTTTAAAATTTTTAATTTTACAAAATTATTTTTGAAAATTGTCCTCTATTTAAAAGTTTTTAGAACTAAAAAACTAAAACAGGTTTTAAAGATTTTGTTTTTGGTTGTTAGTTTTGGAAATTAAAAAGAAGAAAAAACAAGTAAAAATAATACAATTTTTTATCAATGAAAAATTTGTAATATTATACAACTTTAAAATATTTTTTAAAACATTACTAAACATGTTTTTTTTTAATTACTTTTAAAATTAACTTAGAAAATAATTTTTATAAATTAAAAACTAAAACTCATTCAAATAAACTCTTAATATTTGTGTAGGAATTTGGAGGAAAGAGGAAGTGAGGGTTTTGGGGGAGGGGATTTGTAAATAACAAAATAGAGAAATCTTTAATAGTTTTTTTGAAATTATTCTTTTTTTAGAATGAAAAATTAATGTATAGCATTAGTATATTTTTAATTTTCTGAACGTTATAATAGCATAAAATATATTTAAAGAATTTATGTAAACCCTCCATCACTCATCCAATACAAATTTTAATTTTTTTTCCAAATTTTGAGTTCTTTCCAAATTTTAATTATTTGTAAAAGTCTAGTTTTTTCCAAATTTTGAGTTCTTTCCAAATTTTAATTATTTGTAAAAGTCTAGTTAGTAATAAGTCTAACTTTAGATTCATTTCCTTTTGACCTCTTATAATAGAGAATAGATAATATACATTTTGTATGATATTATTGGGAGACAAGACCGTCTTAAATTTTGTTTTCGGAGGCCTCGTATAGATTTACTATAGTTTAAATATAGAAATAGTTTTGGTCCTCCTGTTTTGTCAAATTCACAAAAATAGTTTCTCTGTTTATTTTTTAAACAATTTTAATCCCCCTAGCTCACTTATCGCCAAAAACACATTGATGTGACAATTTTTTTAAATATGTGGCTGATAAATGCTTACACACATAGATTTAATTCCAGGCATGTCATTATTTAATTAAAAAACAAATTTAAAAAATATGATATTTTTTAAATGTCTATTTAAAAAGGAAATTTAGGTCATTATTCATCATCATTGTCTCAGCTTCGTTACAACATTTTCACCATCGTTGTCAGCTTTGTTATATCGGTTCACCATCGTTGTCAGCTCCGTTTCATCTTGTCTTCATGTTCATAATATTTGCCCTAATTTGTGTCTGATGTAATGGGTTATGAGTTTGTGGAAATTTCAAGGTCTTCATCTTATTCTAGGAGGAGAAGGATCCAATTCTATTGTGGACTGGATTCACCACTTGCTACTGCGTGGACATCTGAGAATCCAGGTAGGAGGTTCTATGGCTGTGGGTTATTCAAGGTGCGTATAAAACTCTAATTTTTAGTTAACTCATCTTCTAAACGTTTTTTGGTAACTACAACCCTAATTTTTCATTTGTTTCATTCAGTTACAAGGGATTAAAGGTTGTTTTTTTTATTGGTACAATGACAAGATTCCGGAACGGTCAAAGGAAGTGGTTAACTCGTTTTTGAAGAAGGTTAATAAGTTGAAGAAGAAAGATAGTTTGACAAAGAAGAGTGATGATGACATGAAGAAGAAGAACAAGTTGTTGATTCTATCTTGGTTTTTTATCATCATGTTGATCACAAAAGGATTTGTTTAAGTTTAGATGTCATTGTTGTGAGGTTGAGGTTAATCTTGTAAATTTATTATAGTAAGGTTTGAGTTCAACTGGTGTTACTTTGATGTTCTTTTGCAAGGTGTTACCTAATGTGACAATGTAACCTATGCTCTTAATGTAACAATGTTATCAACGTCGTTAATGTGACAATATGACCTATGTTGTTAATGTAATAATGTTTTGACAATGTTGTGGTGCAATTCTTCTGTCACTTTGGTTTTGTCCATTCATAATTCACTGATAATATAATACAATCCATAATTATTCTATTTTGATACAATGTTCTAAATAACATAATACATTCCATAAGTTTTCTGTTGTGATACAATATTTTGACAATGTTGTCAATGTTACCTATGTTATTCATAATTCTTCCAGCACAGTAATACTTTGAGATAATAAGACTTGTTACACATTAAAGTAATCAATCAAAAAGGTATTCAGCTTTAATAGACTTGTAGTTTTGTTATATTATCACCTTAAAAGGTATCCATCCAAAAAGTTATAGCATCTTGCATTAAAGGTTACATATTAAAGTTGTAAACCTCTTCAAAAAAGTGATAGCATTTTACATATCTTACATTAAAGGTTACATATTAAAGTTGTAATCATATTCAAAAAAGTGAACTAAAATACTACAGTAGTCTTGTGTTTGTGGTGCTTGTGAGCCCTGTGTCAACACAGTTGGTAGTTATTTTGTCGGACCTTTCTTTTACTTATTTGCCTTGTTACCTCCTTTGGACAAATGTCAGTCCGCCACTGTTTTTCCTTTGCAAGTTCTCAAGTTGTGCCCAAAATTCCCACAGCTCTTACACTTTACAGTTGTCGAATGGTTTGGTAATACATTGCTTGAACTCGGTTTTTCATTAGCTTTATTTCTCTTATTCTTTGGTCTACCCGGAGCTCGTCTCATCACTAGTGGATTAATTTGAGCCCCTTGAGCTTTTGGCCAAAGTCTTGGACCATTAGATAGGAGAACGATGTATGAATACATTGCCATAAAACTTGTTTTTCTGCAGTACAAAAATGTACATTAAAATCAATATAAGTTCCCAATATCAGAATATGTGCAGAATCAATAGTAGGATTGAACAATATTAGCAAGATTGAACATAATAACAGAAACTAACACTAATAGAAGAATTGGACATAATAGCAGGATTGAACATAATAGCAGAATTGAACATAATAGCAGGAATTAACATAATAGCAAGAATTAACACTGATAGCAGAATTAAACATAATAGTAGGAATTAACATAATAGCAGGATTGAACATAATAGCAGAATTTAACATAATAGAAGGAATTAACATTAATAGCAAGATTAAACTTAATAGCAGGATTGAACACTAATAGCAGAATTGAACATAATAGCAGGATTGAACACTATATTAGAATTGAATACAAAAGGTGAAACATAATACCTGTAGTAAGCCAAAACTTAAGGGTCAACATCAGCTTTGTTGTGTAAGATACAAACGATGGCATGGACACACGAAATGCCACCCAAATCCCATTTACGACATGCACAATGATGTTTTTGTAAATTCACCTCATAAGTGTCCATACAATTAGTGACACTAAAAAGGTTGAAATCATCATCTCCATGCCAAGATGGTGTCCAACCTCCAGTTGCCCGCTTGAACCGACTCATTAGATTTTTTTGGTTTTATTATCCTAATCGTTATGTAATACTTCAGCCCTTCAAGCAAATTAATGATGGGCTTGTCTTTGTACTCTAAAATAACCATGTTGAACGCTTTGCACATGTTTCTAACCTACAAATCACAATGACTATCTATGCGGAATGAAGACCTAGCCCACATGGAAGGTTGAATATCCATTATGTCTCTCCATGCATCCTCACTTATAGCTTTTATCTTTTGCATAGCTCTTTCCCAATCCGGAACAACTGTTGCTCTAGCTGCCTGTCAAAGTAGCTCTTTCATGTGTACACCTGGATACTCTTTCTTCCAATTCCCATACAAATATTTAACACACAGTCTATGTTCTACATTTGGTCCAAGGTTAGGAATAGATGGAACCAAACCCTATAAAAAGTATAACATATTTAATAACAACTAACACCCAAAATTAACAAACAAAAAATATGTAAGACTTTTATACCTTTTATTGGTCTGAAATGAAACCATAAGACCTTTCCAACAAATTATTCAGATCTTCTAGTAATAGATCCAAAAACTATTGCCATGAGTCTCTTGTCTCTACTTCAACCATAATATAAGAAATCTTTATCATTATTCATAGGTCTAAGTCCATGCTCAAATGAAAACTTCGAATTGTGGTACCACATACATTTGACTCTTACATAACCCAGTGACTTAACTACTACGAAAATCTCCATATAAGACATCAAATCAACATCCCATTTCCAGTTCAGTTCATCTACCTTTCCATTTACATATAACTTACAAGGATAATGAAGTAAATTCCCTCCATGATTAATTCTAAGTTTAACCGCGTTTATCTTAGCTGGCCTACACCAAAACAAAAGAAACAAAAAACAACACAATTTACATAGCATAGCAAAACATATATTGTGGCAGAAATTAGATAGGAAAAACATATACAAAACATACTACACAGTTAACATCAAAAATTACAGTTAACATCATACTTTACAATAAACATCAGAAATTACAAATACACACTTTGAACAAAATTTCGGATCTTCCTTTGTCCAAGTTGAGGGTTTAGCTTTGAAATTAGGGATTGACATTCCAAAGTGGCTTCAAAATAAAATCAGAGAACAACAATAATAGAGTTAGGGATTTGAAGTTAGGGTTAAGGAACAATAACCCTAACAATTGCTAAGCTAAACAAATCAGAGAATACTTAGTGATTCTTCAACCTTCTTGTTACACTTCGTTCGCAGTGTTCTTCATTCAAAACGTGGTTCTTCGTTTGCAACTCAAGGAATGTTTTCTCTATTCTTTGTTCGCAACTCAAGGAATGTTTTCTCTGTTCTTCGTTCGCCTAGGTATATTCAAGAAATGGTTTTCATTTAATTTAGAAAATAGTAAAATATAATTTTCATTTTATAAAAATATTCATTAATGAAAATATTACATATGTATATTGCCACGTAAGCATTGATCAGACACGTTTAAAAAAATTGTCACATCAGCGTGTTTTTGGTAATAAGTGACATAGGTGGACCAAAACTGTTTAAAAAATAAACATGAGAACTATTTTGGTGAGAATGGAAAAATAGGAGAATCAAAATTGTATTTTAGCCAAATATAAATTGAGGCCTTGTTTTGTCATGGTTTAAACATGACAAATATTTTATGAGGCCCTTTAATAGACATTTTTTAACTGTGATAAATTTTGAACTCTATGCAATAGTTCGCTTTGAATACCTTCAAAAACGTCCCTCTTAGAAGCAAATCATGTATATAACGAAACTACTAATTAGAGACTCGTTATTTTAAAATTAATTATACTAAACCTATATCATATAAATTAATTAATTATAAAAATAATCTAATAAACCTTATTAGTTACTTACAAGTTTGATAATTGACTAAATAAGATTTTTAATTATAACTAGGTAATGTAACTATAATAATATACTCTCCACCTAATAATATTGAAATATAATTAAATATTAAATATTTCAATCATATTTAATAAATATGGATCAAATTGTCATATAGTCATCTTAGAAAAAAATGATATGTCCCACAATATGAGTTGTATTTGAATATTTCTCACATATTAAAAAAATATTTAAAATATAATAATTAAAAGAAAAAGAATTGTGATTTAGCAAAATTGCTCATAATAACTATTAAAGTATTTCCATTATCATAAACAAAAAATAAAAAATAATAATTTAAGAATAATACACATAATATTAAGTCAATAATACAATTAAAATATTAATTAAAATAAAATTGAAATCTAAATATGAAAATTGTTTTGAGACATATTTATCCGACAAGAACAAGTGGACAAGTGATGTTTCTCAACATTCATATAATTCACACTAAATCCAAAGTCTAAGACATTTATTCTACTTTTCCTTTTAAGATTCCCACTAGATAGAAAAATATCGAATAAAATCATAAATTATCTCTATCAATCCCTACAAATATATAAGGATGACCAAACCATACTCTCCCACTGATTAAGACATTCTCAAATATATTTCTAAAATTGTATATACTTTTGAAAATATTATATTTTTAAAGCATCAAGTTGACAACAAAATCCAGCACCTTCAACTTATATAAAAATTGAATTTTTTAATCAAAATATTCAACATTTTCAACTTTGTTTTTAAATTAGTCTATTTTCTAAACTAATTCTCAACATACCTATGTTTCAAACACAATATTGCAATGTTAGTGCAATTGACGCTTCCTGCACTTTTTATAGGTGACGCCACTGTATTTTTTTACTTTTATTTTATTTTCTTGAGAAAATTATTTCTTACGAATTTTTTACAGATTTTAATAAAATCTTTTTAAACTTTTGGTCTTAGAAAATATGAATTTTCTTAAAATCCGTAGAAAATAATTTTTGCAGAAAATTAAAATTAAAATATAAATAAAAAACGTCAATCGCAAAAGTGCATTGGGTGCTAATTGCATTGACTTGTCTCTATACCAAAAATTAGAGTTGAATTAGTTTAAAAAGTAGGATAAATTAAGAACAAAATTGAAAATATTAGATATTTTGATAAAAAAAAATTAAAAAAATTAGTCGAGCATCCTGCGTTTTTGAAAGAATTTATTTATAAAAAAAAATAGATCAATGATATAAATAAATGAGAGATATAACGGCCAACAATATAAGAGAGTCCTGGAAAAAGGCACAAGGAGTATAAACACCTATAAAAAACAACACAAAAAAAATATAAGAAAGAAAAGCCCCAAAGCAAAAACAAAAAAACCCTGCCCACACAAAAAATCAACTACAAGGAAAAAAACAAACAAAAGATTCCATCAAAACA